AAAGTAAGGGCAGAGGTAGTGCAAGCTTTGTTATTGTTCCCATCGATCACTTCATCAAATGGGTGGAAGCTAAACCTTTAGCCAAAATCAAAGAAGGAAACACTTCCAAAATCTTATGGAAGAACATTACATGTCAGTTTGGAATATCCTATTCAATCATCTAAGATAAAGGGAGACAATTTGATAACAAAAAAAGTCAAAGACCTATGCAAGGAATTAGGAATCAATAAACACTTTTACATACCGCTTCATTCCCAAGCTAATGGGCAACTCGAGACAGTGAACAAAACTATCAAGCATAACACTTCATATAAGGATTATTTGTTCATCAATCTACATTTATGGTTGTTTGATCACTTGATGTGAATAATCCATTTCGTCCACTTAGAGATGAAGAAAATGTTCTCAGTCCTAAAGTATCATATCTTAGCGCAATTACGACATTAACTTATCTAACAAACTGCACTTGACCCGACATAGAATTTTATGTAAATGTCATTGTGAAATATAGCTTTACACCAATTCAAAGATATTGAAATGATTTTAGGGTATTGTTGATTTGGGATTATTATATTCTTAAAATTTATGATTTACTTTAGTGGGATATAAAGATGCAGGTTATATCTATGACCCACATAAAATTAAATAAAAATAGGATATATATTTACACATGGATGAACAACTATATCATGGAGATCTGTGAAACAATCATTAACAGTAACATCCTCAAATCATTCTGAAATTATTGCAATCCATGAAACAAGCCGAGAATGTGTATGGTTAAGGAACGTGACCCACTATATCCAGGCATCATGCAGGTTAACTTTAACAAAAGATAGTCCAAGAATTTTGTATGAAGATAATGCAGTTTGTATTGCATAACTCAAAAGAGGCTATATCAAAGGTGATGCATTGTTCTCTAGAAATTTTTCATAAACATGAGCGTCAAAAGAATGATGACATTGACATCCAACAAATTCGCTTAAGTGACAATGTGACTGATTTATTCACAAATGCATTGTCAATATCCACATTTAAGAAATTAGTTCATGAAATTAGAATGCACAGATTCAATAATTTTCAGTAATCAACATTAAAGGGAGTAGTTGTACTCTTTTGCTTTCACTTACATTTTATCCCACTAGGTTTTCCTAGAAAGATATTAATAAGGCATCATTTATTTTTAATATTCAAAAATAAATGAACTTTTTTTTTCCTTCATTTGATTTATTTGCACCATTGAATTTTTATCAAACATGGGTTTAATTAGATGGATAGTTTGTAATGTATGATTCAAAGGGGTGTTGTGAATGATAAGTTTATTAGTAAATGACAATTGTACCCTTATAGCCCTAAAAATTATTATAGTTTTATCCCGGATCTTGTTAGCATAATCAATTGAATGACATAAATATAATTTAACAATAATATAAAATTAAGAAGAGGGTTAGAAAGAAAGCAAGATTTGGTAGTCACGTCGACGACGCTTTCCTAAAATCGTGCTACCTCCCCTTCGTACAGGTTTTTTCGACACTACACGGCTCCAAAATAACACCCATGAGGCTCTCCTTCTATGGAAACGACCATAGGGAGATAAGTGAACGGGCTTTTATCGAGATGCCAAAAGTATAATATAAAATTGGAGAAAGGATAATATTTCAAGTGACTCTCTCAAATTATAGAAATGACTCCCTTATATAGTATAAAACTTTAACCCTTATTATAATGAGAATTATCCCAATTAAAATATAAGTTATCATATGAATTATGGTATTTTAATTTTATGTTAAAACTAAAAATTAATAGGTTTTAATTTTAAAAGGTTGAAACTTAGTTCAAGTTACAACAACCCCATATTTATACCTCAAGTTGTAATATGTATGTTACACTATAATATTATTAATTTAATTTTGTATTAAATTGAAATTAAAATTGAAACAACAGATTACTAAAATTGAAAATTTTAAACTTAAATTATTTATTTTCCAACAATTCTTCCCTATGAACATAGGACTTTGGTTCACACAAATCGATATACCTTTATTCTCTCTTCTTCTTCTTTTTCTCTTTTCATAACACACCGATAAAATTTACAGACTATAATGAAATTAATTAAAATCCATTCGATAAAAGTTGAACATCAAAAAAAGATTAGCATACCCCTCACAAGGATGACATGCACAAATCAAGAGAGAACGAAAGGCGATTTTGTAGAACTTGTTGTGAGATGTACGGTAAATCCACTACGTACCCTAATACCATAATTATGTTTTTTGTCGGTAGAAAAAGAAAAAAAAAGCTGAGTGATGTGATCTGCATAAAGTAGTCTCGGGACAAAATTTTTAGAAATTTCACGAGTTTCCTATTTTGATTAGAAGTCTAATCTTTTGCCATATTTAAGTTATTTTGGCCTTTTTTTTTTCCAATTTTAATTAGATTCTAGGGTTTTAGTATAAATATGGATTATATTTTTCATTGTATTCAGAACTTTTGACATGATGAATTAAAATATAGAATTTTCTCTCTGGAAGCTTTGCTTCAATTCTTGTTTTGGATGGAACGAAATCAAACTTATCAAGATTAATAGTCTTGTGGCTTTCAAACTTGGATTTTGAATCTATAATTCTTTGTAATTAAAATGTCAGCATATCTATATGACTATGACGGTTGTTTGATTCAGCGTTATTGAATCAAATCTACAAAATTGGGTGATATTTAATTTAACTGCATAATCAAGAGGTCCGCACATCGTCAATGATTTGGGTTGCTTGGTTTTAAGTTCGTTGGGTTTAATCCAAAACCTTGCATTGGCTTTCTTGGGGTCGATTTTCAATCTTGATTGTGGGTTTGGTAGCGTTTGTCTACACGGGTTCACATCAATTGTTATAAGAGCTTAGGCACCAATCCAATGTTATATCTTTTCTTTTGTTGTTTTTGAGTCTTTGATTGTTTTCCTAGTTTTCCTTTGTGTTCTTGGTGTCTGTCATTAACTTTGAGTCTTTGATCCAGAAAAATTCCAAAAAAATTTTAGAAAGTTGTTTTTGGATTCAATTTGAGTCCAAATCAACATCCGTCTATTGTGTCGGTGTCTTAGTTAAACTTTCCATCGACAGAGTAAAAACGAAAGTTCCAAATATTTTTTTCTTTTACTGTACGGTACTGTTCATTCCGTACAATACAAAAAAATTGTGTCAAAAAAATTGCTGACTATTTCTTGAATCAAAATTTTATTTTGTCGGGTCAAATTCCTATTGATGAACCACTTTCTTGAATTAACAAAAATTCCAAAATCGAAGTTGTCAATTCAATTCCTTTTTGAGTCTTGGAGCCACAATTTTCACACAACCCAATCGAAAACCAAGTTAATGTCTGAAAGGATGGTGTGGAGATTTGAGAAATTACTTGGATAAATGGAAGATACAATATATAGGCTAGATTCAAAATTGAATGAATTTTGTAGGGATCAATGTGTTGAGGTGTCTAATGTGCGGGGACGGGATAAATTAGAGCCTAGGATGAAAAGTTGTGAGACCTATGGATATTGTTGTGACATGGATGATGATGCCATGTTTGGGGTTGATTTACGAGGAATGAAAAATAGAGGCGATAGGCTTGTAGAACGGGACATAAATTATTTAGGATATGGCATAGATAGGAGTATAAAAATGACAATTCCAAAATTTAAGGGTAGGAATAATCCCGAGGTGTACGTGGCGTGGGAAGAAAAGATTGAATTATTATTTGAGAGCTATGATTATTCTAGGGAGAACGAGTTGAAATTGGTTGTGAGCTCATTCGTAGATTATGCAATAACTTGGTGGGATGAGTTTACGATATCTAGGCAAAGGTATGGTGAGAGGCGTATTGAAACATGGGATGAGTTGAGGTATATTATGAGGAGACGTATGTGCCGAGCATCGAGCATCAATTGGTGGATAAAATTCAACAACAACATTTTGACTTGGAGATATCTTAATTATCGAAAATTAGCTTTGTGATTCCCGAGAAGACAAAGGAGTTTCAAAGGCATTGGTCAAAGTTCATATGTAGAGAGTTGAATGAAGAAGATGAACTGAGCAGTAACATTGGAACATCGACAGTGACATTGTTTCAAGTGTGTGGGCCAAGTAAAGCAAGGAAAATGCATGGATATTCATCAGATGGAGTTGCTATTGGAGCACTCTAAACTTGCATGATCAAATAGTCGAGGCGAGCACACATTGATCCAGGTGAAAGTGATTGGGTTTACAACCGAAGGTGGCAAGTTCGAGTTCAAAGGAGGTCCGAATTACATCCGAGAGGTGATGGGCCATTTCATGTTCTTGCCATAATTGGAGATAAAGGCTATAATTTGGATGATCAAGGTTTAGATTCGAGGTCGAATCCTTCGAAGAGAGAGGGAATGATGTGATCAACATAAAGCAATTTCGGGACAGAATTTTCAAAAATTTCACAAGTTTCCTATTTTGATTAGAAGTCTACTCTTTTGCCATATTTAAGTTATTTTGGACGTTTTTCCAATTTAATCAGATTCTAGGATTTTAGTAGAATAGGGATTACATTTTCCATTGTCTTCAGAACTTTTGACATGTTGAATTAAAATAGAAAATTTTCTCTCTGGAAACTTTGCTTCAATTCTTGTTCTAAATGGAACGAAATCGAACTTATCAAGATTAATAGTCCTGTGGCATTCAAACTTGGATTTTGATTTTATAATTCTTTGTAATCAAAAGGTCGGCATATCTATATGATTGTGACGGTTGTTTGATACAGCATTATTGGATCAGATCTACAAAATCGGGTGATATTCAATTCAATTGCGTAATCAAGAGGTCCGCACATCATCGGCGATTCGGGTTGCTTGGTTCCAAGTTCGTTGGGTTTAATCTAAAACCTTGCTTTGGCTTTCTTGGGGTCGATTTTCAATCTTGATCGTGGGGTTGGTAGCGTTTGCCTACACGGGTTCACATCACTGAGACTCACTTGATAAGAAAAGGCACTTATTATACCAATAGAATTACATAAAAAGGCCAAAGATTAAATGTATATGTTTTCAGTACATAAATTAGTCCTTCAGATTTTAATACATGTAAAAATCAATTAATGGGAGTGAAGAACAAAGCCTGTACATAATTATCGACGCTGGAGAAGTAGGAGTCCTCTTCATGCTTGTAAACAACTTCAGAAGCTCTAGCCATGTTTAATGCAACTTTGGTAATGGCTAATGGCATTGCATTTGGTGAAATCAGTTCATCGTTCAGATCTTTCCATAGGCCGTTTATAGCTTTCAGAATATAATTTCTGCCTTCGTTTTCACAATCTATGTTTTTCTCTCTCATTAATATCTGCATGCATGATGCAAGATCGCCTCGTTCTTCCTCCTCCTGACATATGATAAAATACATGAGTTACCCGTCGAATCTATCGAGTATCTTCACTAGTGTATTTGAAAACATATATTCATTTTTACATACTCATTTTTAATCATATATTTTTACAATAAAATATTTTGCACGTAATTCAAAAAAAATCTTACTTTTTATCTTCACATTCTCCAAAAAAAATCACTACTCAAAATTCCATTTTACCCAAATATTGATTGTCAAATAGGGGCTAAAATCACTATTGAAAACTTTGTTTTAGCCAAATAATGGCCATCAAACATGTGCTAAATAAGCTTTAAGAGTGCAATAAAGGTGTCAACCTAGTTGAGTCGTCTAGGTGCACCCCATTGATTCTTATCTCCAAGAATATTCATAAAATTTAAGAAATTAAAAAAGGTTAACAGTAATTTACCTTGGCAGTTCCTAGATCATCCCAGAGACGAAGAATTCTCCCGGCTGCGGAAAAGAGTTTAGGATATGGTTTTCTCAACAATTTAGCAATATTCTCATTTGTAACTCCTTCCCCTATAAGAAAGAATAGGTGCACCAAAGCCATATATGCTCCTGCTGTTGAAACACCATTCTCTATATATTCCTCCAAATTTGGTCCATGTCCACCGTTGAACCAATTTGCCTCTACCATAAACCCCTCAATCATATCTATCCACTGTAACTTACACAATTTTCAATTAGCATGTAGAGATAATGATGGCTATGTTTTAGCTGCCATGCTAAAATAATGCAGGTCATGTAAAATTTTAAGAATCATGATGTTGTTGGAAAAAAAAGGGGTTGTCGATGAGGTTTGACCCGACTTGATTTGCATGGAATGATTTTTGGAGGGAGGAGTTAAGTTTTAAGTTAAAAATTTAACCTCCAACCATCCTTAACCACTATACAACTTCCACTACACTAAAAGCATCAAAACACATGCAAAAATCTTCTAAAGAAAATGGCGAAAAACGCATAAGGGTTGTGACTTGATTTGGAAGATTTACATCTCTAAATTGGTATTTAGGTTGTGGCTATCGAATTCCTTCCTTTGTGATCGTGTTTTTGACCAAGGAGTTAATGCAAGGCGGTGTAGAAAGCAAGCAAATCAAAGACAAGTAATTCAACCTTGTTTTGAAATTTCAAGTAAGTTCTACAACTCGGAATTTACAAAAAGCACGTTACCGTGGATTTAAGGTAGGGAAGGACGCAAAATCCATACTCCTTGAGGATTTTGTAGCAGATTTCATTGGTAGTGTTGTACAAAGCCATGTAACATATTCTCATGTACGGTGGAAGAGTTTCCAATTCATCAAGATCCCATCTGCGAATCAAATTAAGCATTCAAACTCGTAAGAAATTTCCGAATGACAATCAAATCTTCAATATATTTTCAAAGAAATATTATAAGCGAAAATGAACAAAGTGAGATAGATCAATGAATATACGAACCTTTGAATTGCTTCAGTGAAAAGAACAAGTTCCTCCATTTTGCCATATGTGTCAAAAATATCATCAATTACCAATAGAATGGCTATGGTCTTAGCCAGTTCAATTCTGCAGCTAGAGTACTTGGGTTCTGGAAGAAGTCCCACTGTCCATAAAAAGCATTCCAAGGGTCTGTCCCGGGCAAAGCTCAGCTTCTCAACTAGCCCTAATTGTTTCCACCATCTGAAAACAAATTCGTCAATTCAGCCCTTTATTTTTAGGAATTTGAAATCGAGTATAGCGTACTTAAAATGTGCAATATGTTTAACGATTTTGTTAGTGGTACATCGGGGTGTACCTAATGGTGTACACCCCACTCACATGGACGAAGAATCCACTCGAATAAAATATTTTTTCTTTTACATGGATCCCACACCCATGTGAGTGGGGTGTACACCATTCGATATACTCCATTATGTACCACTAGACAAATTCTATGTTTAATCCATTTGTAATAATATACAAGTCATACCTTAAGGTAGTTTTGGTTACTCAACCTATTCTAATTTATTGTATGGAGATAATCAAATCATCCCTCCCGAAAACGAGGAGTACAGAGTCACTTGATAAGACGTCGTTCTCCCTTAAGTTATTACAAAATCCCATCCAATTTGCTATTTTTTACCGTAAACACGGTCGGTTGGCTTAAACGTGAGAGTATGAGGACTAAGTTTTGATTACTATATATTTTTTTCTAGTGCGTCAACGAACTTTTATGGAATTTCATATTGATAACTAAACTTAAATTTGTTATAATTTTGTCACCCGTCTTGTCTTTTAATTTCACCAAGGGACAATCTCATGACATTAATAGCAAACTAAGCCCTTGTTTGGCAATCATTCTTCCTCATACTTTTCTTCTCATACTCGTTTTTAACCGTATATTCTCATAATAAAATATTCTTCACGCAAATCCAAAATTTTACATTACTTTTTAACCACACATTCTCTCAAAATTTCATTCTTTCCAAAAAATTCTATCAAACGGGGGCTAAGTTGCTAACTATATTCGGACGTATGGAAATGGACACAAGAATCAGTTGTCAAATAAAAACATTAAGTTCAGTGCCAACTTGGAACAAAATGAAGTTCTACTATTGAAAAAAATAAGCTGCAGGGACTGACCTTGTTATTTCAGCCAATTCCATTTGGTGTTGTAACTGGACTTTGTTATAATCTAATCTTGCCAGTTCTAAAACGGCTGGATCATGGTCACTTTCATTACCATATTCTTCAATGTAACGCCTAGCTTCTAACCGAGCCATCCTGAGGTGCCTCGGGAGCTCTAAGGCAGAACTAACTTGTCGACGAAGTTGCGGCACCAACCGAGGCATCGACTGTCTAAGGTGAATTTCGGTAAATTCCTTGGCCTCTGACAATATTTCTTCGCCGTTTGCTCCCATGGACGATGCTTCGTATAAGCTCAATAAGCCTATGGTGTCTTGAGCCAAATGATCCTTGAATTTCATGTTCTTTTCCATGAATTTAAGAAAGACATCTGCATCAATTGTAAAACATAATCAAGATGATGGGTTTATCGAGAAGATAATTGAACAAAGTTGTTAATCTCCTATAGAATTTGATAAAAGTTGATGAAATGTGTAGTTAAATAGCTGTGAATCTTGAATGAATTGATTTTGATTTAGATTAAAACTATAATTTTAGTAACATTGGTTTAATTATCTAAACAAGATAAATGTCCATATTCAATTAATTGTTTGAACAAGCATATCGAGAAAAATAGAGCAAAGATTTGTTGTTCATCCAATTAATTATTGATATATCATCAATTTAGTGGGTTAGGGGTAAAGTTAATGAAGATAAATTTGAGATAACAGTTAACTATTGTGATATGTCAAGAATTAATTGGATGAATAGTAAAATTAGACAGCATATCTGGATTAGAACAGGTGACATATTTTTGGACATGGCGTAAAAACGAAAACTGTAGTCCCCACAAGCCTAGTGATTGGGACTATTTTGGAAAGTGATCCCAACAAGTTCTATCAAAATTTACAAAAAAAAAAAATAATAATAATAATAATAATAAATAAATAAATCTTATTTTAATCTCACTTTTAATTAACAAACAATTAAAAATTGAGCTCTAAAATCAATTACAAACCGAACCTTAAGTTTCATTAAAAAATTTAGACCCTAAAAAGCACTAAAACATCAAAACGCGAAAACAACCTAATTAAGCAATTGTCTCTTTTAAGCCAAAGCTCATGCAATTTTGTCATGTCGCTAGCCTACTGACTCATGGCTCAGGCCTGTGGGTGGCTTTATTCTAGAACCGACCTGACTTATCTATCTTTTTGTAAAAATAATTATTTGGACCGAGCTATCTGCACAACATGGCACACAGCTTGGTTTACAGCCCCCTCATATCGGGGGGGTTGCCGATTAAAAATATGGGCGTGGGCCCCTCTACAGTGAGGGGATTGTAAGTGTACAACACCTTTTGGTGTTGTATAAGTAGGTTAATCCTAATTATTTTCATATCATCTTATGCTAAATTTTAAATATATGGCATAGGGTAATGTTATTTGTGGTCACTCACTACCACAGTCATTTTACGTGACATACATGTGGCGATTAATGTTTGGATGCATTAATGTGCTGGTTTTTTTAATTGCTTTATACATTAAATCACTAACCGCCAAATATATGCCACTTAGAGTGATTGCGGTAGCTAGCGACTGCAAATAAGAGTATTCATATGTGGCATATTGATGATCAAAATAGAAAGTGACGCAAGGAATAAATTTTTAGACTTGCACGTCTCTTTTCGATAAAAAAAACACACACACACACACATATTATTCCAAAACATTCCATTTTGAGATATACCGTATTGTTCTGTGCTATCGTTTTCTACATTATTATCCACATAAAGTGCTGTATTTTCATTTTGAAAAGAGAGGATAATACATTGTTTGGTTCTCGTAATTAAGGTTATATTTCAACACAAAATTGCTAAGAGTTCATTAACAACCTCACAAAGCAAATTTGTCTTGAGACTTAATTTCTAGATCTTTTATGAGTTCAAAATTATTTTCAATGTATTTATAAATTATTTTTAAACACTCAAGTCACTTTCATCCGTACATTTAGAAAGATCTATAGATACTATCCACTTACCCACCGTTCATTTCTATCTATTCATCACTTAAATCACTTATAATCACTCCACAAACATGTTACGTTTGAATAATCCTTTCGTTCACAAATTCTCATCCCCACATGGTAGTTAAAGCATAATATCTGAATCAGATAGATTTATATCTCAAAGAGGTTGACAATAAATTCTTTCAAAATTGAAGATTATGTAAACTCTTACTCGAAATCTCACTTATTAGAATACGAACTAAAGGTGTTGTAAATTTATACCAGAACCAGTTTTGTAGCCGCTATCGCGGAGCAAGCGGAAGCATAAGGCTGTTGTGAAGAGATCTTCATCAGGCAAGCCATCAGAGAATTGATCCAGTATTGCATTGATATCATCCTCAAAATAATATGCAATTCCTAATCGTTGAAGATTGTCTATAAGTTTTAGCGTCTCAACTGGTTTTGTACTTCTTTGCAGTTCTCGTCGAGTTCTTTCGACCAATTCGCTGTGCTTCGTGCCGTCGTCAACTTCAGGAGTAACTATCTACAAAGCCATGAAAAAAAAGCCCAAATTTTAGATAATAATCTGTATTCTTAATAAACAATGATAACATTTAATAAGTCATAGATATCAACGCTCTACTTCTACACTAATCAAACCACATTTAAATTGATTGGTCATTGACATATAAAAAATTATGTTAAATAAAAAATGAAGAGAAATCAGCAAATTTTTCTTGAAAAAGCATAAGGAGGAGTCGAAATAATGAGCATTGTTGGAATGCATAAAATATTTGATTATTTTAATTTAAACATACTTTTAATAATGCATAATCTGCTCTTTATAAATAAAGAGATGCTAGTGTTCATACCAATTGAGACCAGTTTCTCAAAATGAACAAGTTCATTAGAAATGAACTAGTGACACATAGAGTCGAACCTCCAACATACACAAACAAACATAACCTCGGTTTCGATCGAGCTAAAAAAGTTCAAACATAGTAAAGCAAGAAGATGAAAGTAAACTAAACAAAACGATTACTCACCACAGGTTGACGTATATAATTATACATAGCACCATTTTCAGCAGGGATCAATGGCGTTGCACTAGGCGACGACACCGGCAACGACTTGCAAATGAAATCACGTTGGCCCGACGAAAATCGATGATTTATCGGCCATTGAAATGGACTTCTTGCAGTTCCTGAAATACCATTAGATGACTGTGAAAACAAGGAAATACTCCTCATTGTACAGTCCATATTGCGTTAGCGTAATCGAGAGGAGAACAAGAAACTAGGAATCAAGAGAAGAATTGGGTGGTGTTGGTTTATATAAAGTCATGAACTTGTGGAAAATTTTATTATTAGTTTAATATGAGGGTGCACATGCCTCACGCGAGATCATAAAAATATGAGGAAAACAACAAAAAAATATTGAGAGGACTATTATTATATAAATTAAAGTTCCTACAACATCTTGTCATACAATTTACCAAACCCGTGTTTGGCGTAGTTTAAAATCAGATTTTTAGTATATTTTGATAAAATTTTATAAAATATACTGTTGAAAAATTATGAATCTCATAAAATGTGTAATTAAATTAATTATTGACTTTGATTCGAAATTTTAATATACATCAAACATGAGCATAAAATTTGAGAATTGCAGGTGAAAACGATATATTCTATATGAAATATGTGAACAATTTCATAATAACCAATTATTAAAAACTATGTTATGAAACAAATTCATTTTAATGCAATTGGGGGCATTCGAAACGATGAATATATAATATATTCTCTCTTTCACAAATTAAACTTTTAAATTAGATGGTTCAAATCTCGTAATCTTTTCAAGATAAAATTTTGAGGACATATGAGATGGTTGTTTGAGGGGAAAAAAAAAAAACCTTCGATGTGCACGTGGTGAAACATGTTGACAGCTTTATTTAAATAAATAAATAAATTTATTATATCTCTGAGAGCTTGATATTAACAAGGTGATTTTCTTTAACGCAAAGAGAATATAAATTGTATTTTGTGTCTTATTTTATAATTTATC